GACAATTAAGAGAGCGGAGATGCAATATCATCTGAGGTATCAAATAATAACCATCTTAAACCTCTTACAATTATATAGGAATTCGAGCGTAGAGAAATGTTGGAAATAGGTAGAAATGAAAGCACAAAAAAAGAAAGGCAATAGTATAAAAGTTATGTTATTTACATGAGGCAAATAAGTGAACATTAATAAGGCAATTTTAAACACCAACCCGAGATATATTCACTCTATTTCGTTAAGGTGAGGAAGGACTTTAATATGAATTTACGCCACACAGTGTGACGTAGTGGTTTAAGTGTTGAGAGAATACAATTAAGGTCCCGCTGGGAGTGCTGCTAAGACCAAGGCGAGGTAAGACTGCATTTCACGCTGGGCAAGAATATCTTTTGGGAAGTAAAGATATATGAAATTAATGGTAAACGCAAGACCTACTCATATCAATGTGGGAAAATTTAACTACCAGTTTTTTATCATTTTAACGAAATAAGCAGAATACATCTCATTTATATGATCTATTGGCAGTCTCGAAAACCTACTTATAAATGTACACACCAAAGACGGTTTGATTCAGTGTGACCCTGACTTTAAAAAAGCCTACTATCTGAATGACAATATAGTTGAGACATGATAAGCCAAAATTAATTTTTAAAAAAACTGGATCTTTAAATAAATGCAAGACAAACTGCAAAAAATAACTGGGAACAAAGTTGACAAAAAAACCTAAGGGCATATGTCGCGTTAGGTAGTTGTGAAATCTTTTATAATGAAAAATCCTTATTTTATCGTAAGCATTAACAAAGGGGGTACAAACTATGGGGGCAGTAAGAGCTTGAGGACAATATAAGAGGTCGTGGTTAAATTTAATAAAGTCTATGGATATGGGAAAATAAAACGATTCCAAGACAGATTATCCAAAGAGAAGTAAAATGTCGACCGCCAGTTTCATTGACAAAGAAAATCAGGAAAACTTAGATAAGGGTTCTCAAAAATTATAAGCTGATAATTAACTGGTGGCCAATTAAATTTATGAAAACTAACCTCATGAAAACTGATTGGGCCGACAGCTTTGCTGACACGCTGGCGCTTGATAACACCGGAAGGCTGTTTGACCTCCTCCCATTTGCGTTGGCACCACCACCACTCAAGGTTCTTAGCGCCGCCACTTTCACGCTCGACTTGCTCATGACTTGCTCGGAGAAGGTTTGTCTGGATAACTGAAATACCCTTGGCTCTTGTGATGTGCAGATGTGCAAGGCAAGCCAGGTCGGTAACAACACGGACTCCATCTGATGAGATGAAGGCGTTCACATTGTACTGGGGAGATGAAAATGGATAGCTTTAAAGCTAGACAAGATCCTTCCTCTAAAGCATTGCATTTTTAAAAAATCTAATAAACGAATGGACATTTTTTACAAAAAAGATAGGCCGTTCTTGTGATACAAAGACTCAGCACGTCATCTTTACTCATATCATTGTGGGAAAATTCAACTACCACTCCTTCACCACCTTAAACGAAATAGGGTGAACGCAACTGATATAACTTCCGACTTGTTTATATTCGACTCCTCTAGAGGTATGCGATGACGCCACACTAAGTTCGTCAAAAAAGACATCTCCAGAGTTGTAGCGTGGTAGAGAGAATGCACTGATGATGCCGGCGAAACGCCTATGAATGTACCACATCCACGGTCCGACGATGGGAATTATGGCAACTATTATAGTAAAGAGCGCCGTGACAACGTGATCAAGTTGCGAAAGCGAGGTCAAATCACTTCTAGAAAAATATTACCCAGAAAAAGTTAGTTCAGCAATGATATTTTATTAGGTTCAAAGCAAACTAATTATTGGTTTTCTATGAGACATGATCTAGACAGACAATACAATTTTATCAAACACTGCCGATAAGCAATAATGAGTCA